AGATATGATAAAATAATAATAATTTATAAATTATCAAGGGTTCAGGGGGAGGGGGGAGGGAGGGGGGAAAAATGAGGAGCTGACACCAAGGGCTCAAGTAGAAAGCGGGTGTTGTGAGAATGATGAAGTCAACATAGGTACTAATGTACTGGGCACAAATGACGTATGTACGGATTGTGATGAGTTGTATGAGCCCCTAAAAATGATTATTTAATAAAAAAAAGACTCCTTGACTTGGCAGAATATAGAGTTTCTGATATATTGTCATAATAGACTAATTGTAACCCTGGGTTGTTTCTGCATGTATAAAAGGCAGATGTAGAATAAATTTGGGGCTTCAGTATTCACTGTTGCCCTCCCAATAAAAAAATAAAAAAAGAAAGGCCAATCATATGCCTTATTTTACAGAGGGCTGTCATGCTTTGGACCAAACTCAGTGTTAATCAAAAACAATTTTGGTACATTTTTCTATGTTTGAAACGAGGAACATACTATGAAAACATTTAGTAACTTTTTCTTCTCTTGGAAGAAAGACCTCCAAGCATCTCCTAAAAGAGACACCAAAGTACGATAGCTCCAACAAGACCAACGTTAATTTAATGCCTGTCTGAGCTAGTTGGATACTCTGTGAGGGAGCACTTGGCACAAACAGTCATCCATGGAATTAGGTTCCTTCCATTATTGTACTTCAACCTCTTCCCGCCCTCCTTTTTCCAGTCAATGCTGGCTTATCAGAGTATATCTCCATGCTGACCCAGAAGGTTTAAAATGTAAGTCCCACAAATTACACCTATCACTTCTGCTTTCACTATTTTAGTAAGAACTGAGCCACATTTGCAAAGGAATCTAGGAGGCAGAACCTTATCCTGAGCAGCTCTGCTTCCTTATGAACTTGATGGGATGAAAGCTAGTGTGTTAGTCTGGGTTAACTAGAGAGAACAATTCAGAGACACTCAGATGTATAATGAAGAACTGTATATCAAAGATTAATTGTATATTAAGAAAGCATCCCAGCCCAGTCCAGAACAAGTTCCTAAGTTCGATATTAGCCCATATATTGATACTACTCCATAAATTCCTCTTCAGATTCACGCAACACATAACAATGATGCTGAATTCAGGAAGATCACAGGCCAGTGGCTGGAAAGTCTTGTGGATCCAGTGGTGGTGGAAGCATCTTAGTGCTGGTGTGGGTCTCCACGTGGCTCCTCCAGCTCCAAGGCTCTGGCTGCCATCAGCATAGCTCCATGTATCTTGACAGCAGGAAGACGAAGCAGAGTGTTTCTGGCCTCCAGTGAGCTATTTATGTCCACTGCGCTCCACATGCGGTCATCAAGCTGCAACCTGATTGACAGACTGAACTCCACCCTTTCACTGTTAACAGTATCAAGTTGAAACCAGATTATGTAACTTCCACAGTTAGTAAAATACTTTTAAAACAAAGTAAATAATAGTTAATAAAATAGGGTTCCATTCTTAACTAGATGTTATTAATTTCTCCAATGTTATTTTTTTTGTTTATCTCTCGTGGTGTGTTGGAATGAACTGTGCAATTACAATTTTTAAAAATGTTTGTTTCACCCTAAGAACTGGAGATGAGTCTAGAAATAATATATTCCAATTATTGTATCTCATTTATAAAGTTAATTTGGGTTAGAAAAGAGTGGTAAGCAACTCAAATATTTAGAGCTGAGGTGCAATTTAGAGACCACTCAAAATCAAAATTTTAAGAATTTTTTCCCTCTTAGTCATGTGATAGAAAATTATAAAGTATGAAATTTAAAGAGATTAATCCTTTATTTCATCTTAAAATACAAATGGAAGCAAAATCATTTTTGTTTATAGAATGGATCTTCCAAAGAGAGTTCTTTGGTATCTTGCTTAAATAATTTTTACCTAGTTAAAATGGCTTATAATTTCTAATTTCAAGTTCTTTGAATTAGAGCAAGAAGTTAAAAGCATATTTGAAGAAATCTGAGTTAAGGTTCTTTCTGGGTTACTTTCTTCCGTTTGTAATTGTTGTCTTGACTATATAATGGATTTACAGTCATTTTTCTCTTTTCCAGTCACTGGAGGTTATCTCATCTTTCCCAAGTATCTAGGGGCCATAGAAACATGCATTTTTCTTTTTTCTGCACTAATATTCCATGGCTTATAACATTGTTGAGTTATATTCATTTGGTAGCAAAACAACACAAAACTCACTGCCACTGAGTCAATTCAGGTGCATGGCTACCTTATGGCAACAAGTCCAATAGAAATAACTGTATCAGTACAAATATGATTGGTTTTATTAAACATGAAACAGATATGTGAGGGTGTGCTAAAGTGTTGTATAAAATCTCAGTGCTTTGTAAACTGCATACATCAATCAGTACACAGCAGAAACGTAGAGTTTTGACAAGCACTTCTCTGGAACTAAATGTTAAACATAAATCAATTTGTTTCTGATTTGTGACATTCAAAGTTTTCCTTTATTGGTCTCTTCAACACCGTTTACAGTAAGTGTCTGATATCGAGACCGTGCTGCGAGAAGTCTGGAATGTCAGAAGTTTAGACAGGACCCCGGTCGGTCCTCATGCACTGGGCATGCGTCTGTGAAGAAAGAACATCGGCATTGCGGTTCTGGAAGCCTGCGGAAGCCAAGGAAATGTTGAGCGTGCTGCTGTGTTCCATGTTCTTCCGTGCCTTGTAGGACAAGTGTTCATTTCATCTGCAAACCAAGTTGTAAGCAAGGCAGTTGATTTCCATCATGAACAATGTGACAGAAGGTATCCAAAACCAGGCAATTTTTCTTCACATCCTTGAAAGCAGTTTAAGGCTCCACTCATACGGCAGTCATACATTGAAAATCTCCCTTTTCAGTTTTTTGAAAGAGAAGCAAAGAGAACTGAGCAGGAGTTACTATAATGACGCCCAAGTTCTGGGTTGTAAGGCTGGAAAGAAGTGGCTAGGTGTCATTGAGAGGTTTCCTGCTCCTTCAGGACACAGAGCATGCCCAGCGGCACCTGCATTTGAACGGTTGCAGTCACTGTGTTGATCCATCTTTCTGAGGTTTTCCTTAATTTTGCTGAACTTATAGTTTACTGAGAGAATTTCCATCTACAGGGACTGGTCCCTCCTGCAAACATGTCTAAAGTACAAGAGAGGAAGTCTTGATATAACCCTGCTTCCATGAACTTTGACTGTGGATTGAAAATTGGGGAAAAGATCAATGTTGTCAAGAATTTTATTTTTATTTCTCTTAGATTCATGAGCAATGCCCATGGAAGTAGCAGTAAACAGTAAGATGATGTATTGCATTGGGAAAATCCTCTGAAAAATTCTTAGACTCATTTATGATTAAATTGAGTTGATTTGTCAATATCAATTCATACAGTATTGCATGAACTGTTTTGCAAACATTAAAATACATTTTAAGGAGGATTAAAAAACTAATATTGAAAACTTCTAGGCACCAGTTTAGTTGTAAAACCATAAAACAAAATCAATAATATAGTGCTTCACAGCTATATACAAATATCCATAAATCATAAAAGAACATATACCATACTAATTAGTGATGGTTTTTATTTTTCTCTGCACTTATTTGTTAATTTATATGTGAAAATATAAATTATTAACAAGAGTTGCATGGATTTCTCTTATTCCTAATACAATTATACCATTTAACAGATGGTGGATTTTAAAACCTCCTCAACAACTTATAAATTCCCCCAATTTAACTGGTCTCAGATCTTGATAAGAATGAAGTCTACACTTAACAGTCAAGTTGCCCAAGACTTCAGGAGAATCAAGTGTAATGAAGTTTTTACAGTAGGAATGCTTTCTGTATTTACTGTTTATGTGGTCTCCAAACCACAAAATGTGTCACTGGCTGATCTGATATAGGCATAGGTAGTGTCAACTGTCCATATCCATTAGGTGATTTGTGCTAAATTTATGTACCTTAGAGAGTAATATGTCTGGTAGAACTGTTCTAAAAGAAGAATAACATTAGTGGATTAGTTTAAATCAAAGACGCACTTCCTTACTGCTAATCAGCTCCATGTTTAGTTTTAGATTAGAACATATATTTCAAAAATGATAATACATGTAGACTTGAGCACCTGACAGCTGTCAATTTAATTATTTCTAGATGATCAACAGTCCATTTTAGCTATGCATTCTGTAAAAGTTCAATTGCATTTTTAATTATACTTACCTAGTAATTGTATGGCAAGGTAATGGATTTCAAAAAAGTAGATAAAAGACAATGAGTTGCCCCAATGCTGAGTAGGTAAACAAAAATGAGAAATTACGATTGCCAATGTGTTTACGGCGTACCGTTTAGGTCCTGTGCCTCACCTACTTTCTTCTTGCCTGACTTTTGTTAGAAAAGGTCAGATTTTGAGTAATTGGCTGAAAGTATAATTAAGCCTAATTAACAAGTCTTGCAAGCAAGACTACATAATTATAGTAATGATTTTTACAATGATAAACTATAGCAGAAATTTAGAGTGCTGCAGCTCCTAAAATACATTTTTCACCAGGCTTTATTTAAGTAGCTTCCATGATATAGAGTCAAGATAGAATCAATATATGTGAAATTGTGCATAAATTTGACAGTAAGGTTTTCAGAAAAGTATAATTTCTCCCATCAAATAACCAAACTTGTGAAGTCCTTCCAAATTTAAGTGAACCATAAAGTTCATTTTATAAATGAAACCACAGAAAAGGTAGCTTTTTATAGGTAAATAAACTGGTTAGAATAATAAAATCCTAAATGTATATTTGATCTGTCTGAAATCCTTGTGCTTTCAGATTTTCAGAACCCTAATCAAACACCAAACAAATTGTATTGTACAAAACTGAAAAATAATTCTAAATATGCTGAGCCAATTAGATGATAGGTATGAATTTATAATATGCTATTCTTATTAATACTTTTGATTCTTCACATCCTTTTATGCATGCACCTTTCAAAAATTATTTTGTCCTTATAGAAATGTTTTCTTTGCAGGAAATTGACTCATATACTCATTTGGTTGGTTTCCAACAGATTCTCTGAGATTTTGCCCATTATGAAGTTTACCATCCTCATTCCTTTCTTCCCAAACAGGTAAGTAGGAAGTATCAAGAGATGGTCCTAATAACAGATCCTTCCATTTCATTTTGGCACAATAAATTTAACAATAAAATGTACTAATGATACAGAATTTGAGATGGTTTCAATATTTTTGCATACACAGGAGTAAATAATGATGATGTTTGCTGCATTCATCTCTCCAAGCAGTATTTCATGTGCCTGATTTTCACACATCTAACATTGCTATCTCCTTCTGCAGGTTGCCTCTAACTGAAGATCCACTACAGTCTGGTAGTAACTGTCAGCTTCTTCTCTTTACAAGATCATGGCCAGAAGTTGTGCAAAAGAGGATCAAGTCCTGGAGAGAGGCGGCTGAAATCCATGCTCTGAGTCACTTCTCAGACTGTGCACTGTGTGTGTCCTATAGTCCAACCCCCAACTGCTCGCCCCCACCCCAAACAAAAACTCAAAACCAGAACTCAAATCCCTTGCTTTTGAGTTGATTTCGGCTTACAGAGACCCAATCAATTCAGGGCTTTTTTCCACATTTTTGTGGGAGCAAGTGGTCTCCTATTTCTCTCAGGACTTGGCTGGTGGGCTTGAACCTTGCGGTTTACAATGCCCAGCACACAGCGGCACCTGGGGTCCCTCCGTCCTAAAGGAGAGACATTTATTTTTCTAAATTATGAAATGGTGCCAGTAGGGCTCCTGTGTCCTTGTTTTTGTAATAAATCTGTGCCCTCAGTGAATGATCTCCAAGACCTCATAGAGCAGCCATTTAAAAATTCCTCTTAAATCTCTTTCTCCAATATCTAACTGACCTCCACATCCCATTGGCTCTCCTTCCAAGAAGTATTTCAAATCACTCACCTATTTAAACCCTACTCATGTTTTCTTTGTTTAAATCATTGTAATTTCTCAATTTAGTTTTGCAGTAAACTTTTAATTATTCCATTTGACACCTTTATTTCCCCACCATCAATTTATTCGCTCATTCTTTTCTGTGAAAATACCTTCATCCTATTTACTTCTATGGCTTCAATGTACAATGTTGACTAAAAATAACATACGATCAGTCTTTTTCACATTGTACCTACGTGATTTCATTATTATGAATGTGAGTTCTAATATAGTGCTATGAGATTTTTCTTCATTTTTTTCGCTCACTCTGTGATATCCTTGTGTGAAAAACATATTTTTAGGAGCTCATGTAGAAAGAAAATATTTTGAAAATGATGATGGTAACATACGTACAAATGTGTTTGATACAATTGATGTATGGATTATTGTAAGAGCTGCAAGTGTACCCAATAAATGATTTATTAAAAATAAAACAAACAAACAAACAAAAAAGAGAATCTCTTTTTTCTGATGACTGTGGTGTGGTATGATATGTATGGTATGGTGTGCTTCCTGGATTCCCTGTTCCCATTAATCACCCATTGAGTCTTGTTAAATTATCTAAGTAATCTTAGTTTATAAAGAGTTATTAGAATTACTCTAGTGCTTTGGGGCTACAAAATACTTGAGTTTTAAATCTTTTTATCAAGTGTTGAGGTGCACATGAGTAACCTGGGTCTTTTTAAAATGTATATTCTGATTTGGGAAGTCTGATTTGGGCCAGAGATGCTAAATTTCCAACACACTTCAGATAATGTTTCAGTTGCCTTATCCTCTCCTCTCTACTCCTCTCCTCTCTTCCCTCCCCTCTCTTCCCCTCCCCTCCCATCTCATCTCATCCACTCCACACGACACCACACCACAGCATAACACACCACACCCTACCATACTTATTACACCCCACCACACCATACCAAACTGTGCTATGGGACCAATTACTTGAGTACAGTCAGCCATTCTTTTTAAATCATTTTATTTTATTGGGGCCTCATTCAACTCTTTTTTTATCATTTTATTAGGGGCTCATACAACTCTTATTACAATCCATACATACATCAA